AGTCACAATGGGGACTCCGTTGCGAAAGTATGAAGCTACTGGTGTTGGTTTTACAGGGAAGCTAGTATTATGAGAGCAGGTCATTCTGATGATACGGAAGTTGGTTGTTGAGTTTTCTATGCAATAATTAGCACCAAAGACTGCAGTGTAGCCCTGGGAAGTTTCTTCAACATCATCTTCAGTTCCTACTATCACGACTGGTGGGTCACCTAAAGAGAATTAGAACCCGTACAATCGTTATACTTGTTTTGTATATACCTATGACATTGTTGATAACTGAGGTTGAGTTGCATTCAAATGTTGACCTTGACGTGTTGTAGCAAACCTCACACCTGTAGGTGCCACTGCCTCCTCTCTTAGCAGCTGCAGGTACATCAGATCCATCAGCTGTAAGGAGCTCATTATAAGTTCCATTAAGACTGTAACTATTAGTGCCAAGAGAAGGAATGGTGTGATGTTTTTGCAACCTCATAACTACTTCTAATGTCAGTTGGCAATACTTTGATCATTTTTCACACCATTAGATTCAGCCCATCCTTACATTAGTGCCAGACATAAACATTCATTTTCTCCTAATACTCACTAATTGTTTCTCATAGACCTCTTGGCTCAATCTCAATCCACTATATGCCATGAGGATCATATTCTTTTAGCATTACAGTGTTTGCAAATGTATCTAATTAGCTCAATTAAGATTCCTAGTACTGTCCTAATGTATATCATAATTTACTACTATTACTATCCATTGACCAACACCCAAGGATCAGGACCACGCCAACATTACTCTTAATTGAGTTAAAGTATAAACATTCACATGGAATGATGCCCACTCTTGAATGGAAGCTAGGAATGTTGGCAGGATATGGCAAAAGCTCTCACAGGATAGACTGAACACAAGTTTTAAGTCAAAAGGCCACATCATTGACAGTGAGAGTGGGTTTACATCATAGAGTGTGTGAATTGTTTATAAAATAGTTTAATAATAAATGACGTATGAAGGAAGCCTTATTACAGATTACATAAACAGAGTCAGTTTTGTTCACATAAACATGAAGACATCAATGGCTTCAATCCTAGTTAGCTCAGTACCCAAGAAAAGCATCATCATTTTAATTAATATTATATCATTTAAGTCAGTGATGTCATGCACAGTCATGTACATTAACCCACAATCAATGTCAATGGACTATCATACATTATAATGATAAGCATTTGTTAACTATAATATCATATAGTCCAGCAGAATAATGAATGGTGTATTTATTTTCTAACTCACATTATTGTACCAGTTCCAATTCTTGGTATTGTCACAAGGATCTCGCTTCCAATTAACTCTCCGTTCACATTAATAAATTGAGCATACCAAGTGATCCCTCTCAAGACAGAGGCAGGAGCTATTCCAGCTGCTGTTAATTGAGCTATGGTCTCATTGAGTCTAGCTGTACAATCAAACGTGACTAGGACTCCTTCTCTGATTCTGAGCTCTCTGATGTTAGTGTCATCATTACTTAGTTGTATTCTAACACGTCGGTCTAAAGAAAGAGAGAGAGAGAGAGCTAGAAGGGTTTGTGTGTCAATAAGGACAGCAGTAAAGTTTAAAGCAACATGCAATTGTGCTGTATATAGTGAGCAATCTTTATTCCTTATCCTGCAACAAGCACTGTAGATCTATAGTCTAAATGAATATTTAATTTAAGTCTATGCAATACTAGAATATATCATATCTTGTATAGTGATTGGCTGGTTCTCAGTTTGTGTGCAGTTCTTTTTGCTATACCTTCAAAGTAAGGGAAGTCCACAGGTACAGTGATTGGTCCAGGCCAGGTGAAGACTGGTTGCTCCACTGGTATTTGTGCATTGGAACTGATGAAGGAGCCAAACCAGTAGAGAAACTGATAGAGGAGAGTGGTAATAGTAAGATATAGAGCAAACTGTAACTTACTAAAAGAATGTGCTGTCTTTGCATTTTGATTGGAGAAAGTATAAGAATAAGTACAAGATGAAAAGGAATTTCAGTTTTATAGAGAAAATTATAACGCCCACGCAAGCTCCGACCACACCTAGTCTATACATGCAGTGCAGTACTTAAAACAAGAAAATAGACTATTAGTTCCCCTGATTCCCCAATTAACTTTAAACATTTAACATGACCAAAGAATTTCATGAATATTTTCAGTATCCAAAGTTTTAAACTACATGTAAACCCATGTGTTGACATGTTCTTAAAATTCATTACCAAAGTAATGTAAAAGAAACAACTGTGGTTAATGAAACAAGTCTTTTTAGCACCAGCGACAACTAGCAAGCTTTTCTTGACACTGGCTGCTAGTTTCTATTGCTTGCCTTAAATTAGCTTCACACTTAGCCAGGTCCACTTTACATATAACATTGTTCTTCTGTGATTCAGTGTTTGTGATGTCTTTGTCCTTTAGGCAAGCTATATACTGTTCCTTGTACTCCTGCATGTTCACCTTAGTAAGATGAAGACGTGCTTCACAAGATTTTATTTCGTTGAATTTATAACTATCAGTTATGTTGAGTATAGCAGCCTCTACGTTAAGACCATTCAAGTTTGCCTCAAGC